GAATTCTGTGAGGTGCAGGAGTCGTGGATACGCACACTGCTGATGAGTCCCATACCAGAACGAAACGACCGTCCAGTACTTACAGAATTCTAATGGTGGTCTAACAATGATTGATTGATGATTTCAAATGTGTAAAAACACTGATCTCCATAACCCCATAATGTAAATTATCATATGCTCACTAGTGACTTGCTCTGTTAAGAAGTTTCTCCGAGTTCTACTGAACAGTCATGGCTGGTGGAATTCCACCCTTTTCGGGTGTGAATCAGTGGTGCTCACCGAAGATAGGGGATGAATTTGCTTCAGGTTAGATATCGGCTCAATGGTCCATAGGTAAGGCGTTCACTCGCTCAAATCCTGTGAATAGCGGGAGTTGTGGATGCACATTGCTGATGAGTCCTATATACTAGGACAAAATGGCCGTCCAGTGCTTCCATATTTCTAATGGTGGTCTAACATTGGTCGATTTATGATTCTGAAAAAAAACTTGATTCTATTTGAGTATCTAAAAGGCTCCTGGAACTAATGCGGATTCTGGGAGTATTCATGCCATTCATTCCCGAAGTACACTTACTTGTAATGCTCTAAATGTTTTTATTCTTTTCTAACTAAGTCTAACGTGCTACCTTCACCTGATGCGACTGGGACGTTTTTGCAAAAGTTAACCATCAGTTGTAAATACGTGTTTTTTTTAGAGATAGAGTCAGAACCGGACGGTGTTAGTGTCTAGCTTTGATCAATCTATAGTTTTGCGCAACTTCACTTATTGTCTTCAGTGTTCGCGCACGAAACCGAAGGTCCTGGGTTCGATTCCTGAGAGCACAGGTCATGGATGCGCATTGTTGAAAAGTTGATATTAGGACGAAACGGCCTTCCAATGCTTTCGGGTTTTTTAACGGTGGTCTAACAATGATCGATTCATGATTTCAACAGAAAACAACTGTCTCCGTAACTCTCTAATGCATAGTATCACTTTAATTTTTTTAGTTATGTAGGTTATTAAATTTTCATGTCAAAAGATGGTAACTAAAGACTTATAGTAAATTTCTGAAATTTTAATTTGTTTTGACTATGAACTAATGTGATCACAATTTTTGGCACACACACTATGAATATCATATTTTGAAGTTATATATTTTGTTACATATATTAATGAAGAAAGATTTAATTAGTAGGCGAGTAGATAGAAAACTAGTGTTACTCACTAATTTATCAATTAAACTTACTTCGTAAATAATTGAAAGGTTATCGATAGGTTTGTTACTGTATATATTACTGCTGTAAAAATGTGAACATTTCTTCTTTGAACTAATCGATCTAAACATGACCATTTCTGAAAGATTTGAAGTTCAATCATGTAAGTGTGAGTTTCAACTAGAATAAACAAACAAAATGTCCACTGTTCATTGATTTCTTTCTCTAATCCTACCTTGAATTTGAATTTATTTTCGTTGAATCACTAAGACGCACGGAAATTAATTCAGCATCACATTCAAAGATATATATATATATATATATATATATATATATATAACTGCTTGGTCACTCATTGACATTCTAACAGAACAGGCTACGGGTTAAACATGTAGAAACTGGAATACTTCACTTCTTCTATCTGAAGTTTATGCTGATGATGTTGTAGTTCAGCAGGAGAACAATGAAAGCTCCACATTGTTAGGATATTCATCCGACATCCTAAGAGAATTATTGGTTCAATTCCTATTGGTTAATTCTTACTGGTTAATTTTATGGTCGTACTAGATATGAATGTCACGTAATTCAAATGTTGCTTCCTATTGGTCGTCTTAACTGTCAATGCCACAGACTTCGATGCTGTTTACTTCTCGACCTAAATGTATAAATACGCATTATCTGTAACGTTTTATGGACTGGACCTGGATCCCTAGTCCGGGATCCTGATTCTCTTCTGGACTCGGACCTTGTACTTTCTGCATGGTTGTAGAATACAGGTTCTACTTCATATCAAGTCTTGTCTTCTTTCACTCAATGCGGGTTGGGACAATCGGATTAGAATAGCATGTCGTATCGCCCGGTTGTTCGATCCTCTCTCTCGTTTTCCAACTAAGGTAAACTCGTAATAATAATTCAAGCATTATCAAAATGACATGTTTACATTCATGCGCAACACACATCCAAAATATCCTTAGCTCAGAAAACGGAACAACTCCATAATCTAACCAACATTGTTTATTTCATGTTTATTCTACAAGTAGTCATACACCATTCATTCTGATGCATACTTATTTGTCATTGATTATTTTTGCTGTCTTCTATTATACTTCCCTTTCGTATTTTGGCTGTGTTCTTTTTTTTTAGTTTAGTTTAATTGACTGTTGAGCTTGCGATCGATTGACCTTATTTATATCAGTTGATTGATTGATTGATTGATATATGAATACACCAAGACTGACAAAATTTTCTTTAACATTCATGAAATTTTCTTTCGACTCATATAATTCTAACATCAAAAGAGATAGTGTTGTTTTTTTTTTGTAAAATAATAATAATAATGAAAGCTCATTATTCACATATAAAAATTATTTTCTTTTATTTTGAGCCACAAATCGGCTAAAAAGCATCTAATTCAACTATGTAATTTTGATCATTTTTAAGGGATAAAAAAGGAACTTTGCTCCCGCATTATTGTTAATATCAATAGAGCAATGTTTTATGGTGTAGGTAGGAGTAGGTTGGAAGAAACCTAGGAGTAGCCAAATCAAAACATGGTACAAATCCATGATGTCACTGACAGGTGGACTGAATCATGTTGGTAGATGTAGACTACATGGTTAGGGCCCGCGAGATGATAGTAACCGATGGTCCGGATACTTTGAATGACATGGCTCAAAATCATTTGCAATGGCGCAGGTGCATCCACTCGTTGTGTTCTGTAAAATTCTAACTTTCTGAATTTTTCATCACCTCAACCTTTCTCTTTCTAAAGTTATCTCACTGAATGATACTTCTTGAATAATATCTTCGAACCCTAATCTTCTCCATTACTGATAGTACTTCTACTATGTTTACTACTATGGGATTTGCATTGACAATTGGATCTGTGTGTGCTGATGTGGTATGGCAACCTGAAATTATGTACGTACGTACGAACTTCTACGTTGTAACTGACTGACTGACTCTTTGATTGTATCATAGGTTTATTATGGAAGATACACGGATAAAGCAAATACCTACTTAAGGAGAGGTGTACAATCGACAATGTAACAAGATCATTTATCCAGTCTGATACTATAACTTCATTTATTTCTAAACACTGAATTGGTTAAACATAAACACTGTTGGGTACCGGCCCATTGATCCATAGATTAGGCGTTCGCGCGCAAGACCGAAGTTCCTGGGTTTGAATTCTGCGAGGTGCAGGATTTGTGGATACGCATACTGTCGATGAGTCCCATACCAGGATGAAACGGCCATCCAGTGCTTCCAGGTTTCTCTAATAGTGTTCTAGCAGTGATTCATTCATGATTTCTTGAATGATATCTTCAGACCCTAATCTTCTCCATTACTGCTCATACTTCTACTAACTCGCCTACTATGGGATTTGAATTGACAATTCCGTCCCTATGCTTATGTGGTATATCGACCTGAACCGATATACTTACGTACGAAGTTCTATGTTGTAACTAACTGACTGACTGATAACATCAATCAATTTAAAATGTTCATTGAAATCTTCAAATTATACGTATACAGCAATACACTAAAATGTTGATAGATTTTTCATGTTTCTCAATAAAAAATAAAAAGAATAACAAACTGGAAAGATATTTAAAATAAGCTACTCATCATTCACAAATAGAAAAATACTTCATTCAGTAAAACAAATTCAATTCTAATAATAATAATAATAATAATAATAATAATAATAATAATAATAATAATAATAATCGTTTAAACCGATAGAGTGGAATTCAATTTTATTATTATTGTCATTATTATTATGTAATGTACGAATTGTTATGCCCCCGCGCCTCTTGTGTTATTCCTAACACTTAATAATCATTTTCTTTGTAATTACTTTTTTTTATGTCATGATTCAATTTATTTTTTTGTTCAATGTTGTAGTTAATGTTTATCTGTTTGTTTGTCCGTAGTTATCGTTTCTCTCTCTCTGTGGTCATTCATGATTATTTATCTTTAATAGAATTGAGTTAATTAATTTTTTACTGATTTTTACACTTGAATTCAATTGATGATAATCTGCTTACTACTACTACTACTACTAGTACTACTTATGTACAAAAATATATGTGATTATTATTTAATCAGTAGTAGAAATCATATTGTCAAATAAAATAAAAAACACACACACACACACGCACACACAACAAATAAATAGATTTTTATTCATTTATCATAATAAATCATTTATGCGTATATAATCTAATCTATTTATTCTATTGTTCTATCACTCACATTTTTACTCCTTATCATCATCATCATCATCATCATCATCATCCACTTTCTCTTGTGCGTAATAAAAGAATGAAAAATCATAGAATTTCTTAATCTTTAATTGACATAATGTCTGTAAGTAATTATGAATTAATCTGTTACAATCCAGATGATAATATTTTTTTTCATCATTTTTTCAAGTTGTCCAGTTATTTTGATTCATGATAATGTGTTATTCAATTGTTTGATAGATATTATGTAAGAATGAGGATAGAACTAGATTAACTACCGATTGAAATCATGAATGAATCACTGTCAGACTATCATTAGAGATAGCTGGAAGCATTGGTTGGCCATTTCGTCCTGATATGGGACTCATCGGCAGTATGCGTATCATCCACGACTACTGTACTTCGCAGGATTCAAACCTAGGACCTTCGATCATGCGCGCGAACGCCTAATCTATGGACCACTGGGCTACGGTATCCAATGGTGTTAATGTTTAACCAATTAAGTGTTTAGAAATAAATGAAATTATATTATCTGGCTGGATAAATGATTTTTTCATGTGGTCAATTGTACACTTCTCTTTAAGTAGGCATTTACTTTATCCTTGTATCTTTTATGTTAATGTCATGAAACAATTAAAGAGTTATCAGTCTATTGTCATCAATAATAAGTAATATATTTGTGTTATAAACTTGAGTAATCTGTTGCTTTTCAGTCGTAAGTCATCATCAAATAGAATGTCACTTGAAACCAATCAGAACTGAGTAGTTGTTTCAATACAGTAGTGATCATACCTATAACATTCAGGTTTCACAGTGGTGACCAGGTTACTTTGATACATAGAACTGTTATGTAGGGACCAACATTTTCACCATCTGTCTCAATTCGTAATTTTCGCAACAATGATTATCTTGTTTGATTGACAATGTTTTTTTTTTAACTGAATACTATTAATCGAATTGCAATGTTTTCCCTGTGTGACATATGTTTCATGTTAGTTGCCGTTTGTAGCTGCAATTTGGAAGGATTCTAATCCATTTTGCATACATCATGAGCTTGTATTATTCAGTGTTACAGTCAAAATCTGAATGATTATTGAGGAATTGTAGTGGCAACCAACAACCTCTTTTAAGGTTGAGATATTCAAGCTAACTATATTACTAGAGTAGTTATGTATGGTCTTGTCCTTTATAGTAATAATTATAATCATTGTTAATTATTGGCTCAGCCATTCTAATATTGACTGATAAAAGATAACAAAAAAGAGTGTTTATTTCATTCTAACTGGTTGTTCGAGTCGTCTGATTGATGATTATGACTCATTCAGGCAGTCAGTTTCAACGTAGAACTTCGTACGTACGTACATAAGTTCAAGTTTCCGTACCGCATTAGCACTCAGACGCAAGGTCTGAATGCGAAGTCGTACTGCTCACTGTAGAAAGGTGTGATAGCAGTAAGGTGTTTCCCTCGGACAGCTAGCATCTGAAGCCATGTTGCTTTCTCATAAGCAAGGAAGTGGTTAGAAAACGTCTACCCTAACATGTCTCACTTCACCTTACATCACAGATTTCCGTCTCAGGTGGTAAGGCCTTTTAAATTAGAGCGGAGCCAGCACTCCAAAACTTCTCTCAAAAAGGCCGGGCCTCAAGCAGTTGTCCCTTGGACTCTGCGGTCACTCTTTCAGGTCTCTAAGACCAACGCTAATCTACCTTCCTTTTCAGGTTCCTGAAGAAATACCCTTACACGGTGTGCTCAGTTGGGAGGTGCCCTCATACCCGTAACAGCACACTCATGTTTATGACTGCAATTGAGCATTATAATGCTTGCAAAACTAGTAAATTAATGCCAATGTCAACGCGATCCGCCCAGTATACCAAACAATATGATCAATTGTAGTCATAAACATTAATCGGAAGATTTCAACATTTATTATAACAGAATTGAAATTCATTCCAATTCATAAGCCAGTTACTATTTGGGCTCATTAGCTAAGTAGGTAGCGTGATAGCATTTACGATGAACGCTACTGAGTTCGAATTTCTGAGTCAACAACTATTATAGGATGCACGGACGTCCGACTGATGACTCTCTAATGGGATAAAATACTCATCTTTGATCCTACTGCTATCCATTATCTTTCTCAGCCTTTAGCTTCCTGAATCTTTACTACTTAGTTACTATTGTTACCGTTAATGGAGCATAGATCGCCAAACAGCATTCTCTAATCTAAGCTGTCTTGGATCTTCCTTTCCATTGCTGCCCAATCGCTACTTATTTTCTTCATGTCTGTCACCGGTTCTCGGTGCTGTGTGTTCTGTGTTATACCTCCTTTCTTTTACCTTTGAGGATTCCAAATGAGGGCTTGTCTTATGACTTATTTAGGTGCTTTCCTCAATGTGTGTCCTATCCACCTTGAGTGCTCTTTTCCTAATTTCCTCCTCTGCTGGAATATAGTTTGTTCTCTGTCACATCTGATTGTTGATGCTGGAGCTCAGTACCTTTGAGCTTCGAACATCAATCCATTAAGCTATGCAATTCAGATAATAGTTAACTTATCCAATAGATATGAAGATTATGTAGTTATTATTAGTATAATTTTCATTATCTCCATTATGGATATTCACTAGTAAATCTTGTTATGTCAACAAAAGATTTTACCCTGATTATCCTATAACAGAATGATTTAAGCATTCACCAATAACAAGTGACAAGTAGATTGAACCGTGTTGGTAAGTGTGTAGTGCCTCTACACATATTCCAGTTCGCTTACATCTAACTTGGTTAAGCCCTTTCGATTAATTTATTTAACCAAGCCATTTGTATAGCAACAGTTTATATGTGTACCATTCGTTCTTATTATTATTGTCTGGTTTGTATGAGCTCACATGACATGTTCCACTTGTCATTTGACCTTGTCAATCATTCGTCGATTTTATTCATGTGTGCCTATTTCGTTTGTTGCATGTCTGTCTTATATTTGTCTGACTATATATTCTTAGTCATGCTCTATCTCTTTGAGTTGGCTCTTAGCCTTCTCCAACGCGCTTCGCCTATTCATTCGCTTCCTTCGCCCATTCGTTCGCATTGTAATCCTAGGAGTTGGCTCATTAGCCTTATCCAATTCACGTCGTTTCGTACGCTTTGTTCGCTACTTTTCACATCGCTTCGTACGATTCGCTTCAGTCGCTCATTTGCTCACACAGTGTACACTACAAGTGTAGGCTATCTAATTGGGGTCCTCGAGACAATAGTAACTGATGCTTAGAAAGTTTGACTGACATGGCTCAAAATTGTTTTCAATGACACATATACATCCATCCTTTCTCTTCTCTCAAATCCTAATCCTCTGCATTCTTCGTCACCCTTATCTTTTTTCTTTTTAAGTTTATTTCACTAGATTCTATTTCTTCAATAATCATATCTTCGAACGCCTAATCTTCTCCATTACCGCTTATACTTCTTACTACTGTGGTGCGCGCTACTTATAAGTAGTAGTATATGACGCGAGTGAAAACGTAATGTCCGGCAGCAGAAGATAGGGGAAGATCAAGAAAGGAAGAGTGGGAACACAATGGAATTTTTATGAAACGCATGAATAGTGAACTGTCAGACAATGGATTGATGATGGATTGAAGATTTGCAAATTAACCGTTTACAATATGGTTTTCCTATTTTACTGAGTAACTCTGTGATTCGCGATAAATACAATTCGGTTGCCCTCACCTGTGTTCTCCTTCACTACACTATCTCCACTACTATGAGCTTTGAAATGACAATTCAATCTTTGTATGCTAATGTAGTATGGCAACTTGAACTGATGTACGTGTTTATGTACGAAGTTCTAGATCATTTAATGTTTTAATGTTTATTTATTGAAAGCAGCATTTCTGTATGTGTTTTTCTTTTCCCTCAATTTTTTTATTTTTTTTGAATTCTATTCTTCTAATTCTATTAGCCATTGGTGTTGCAGTGAAAATGATCGATGCATTATATCGTTTACCTGGTCTAGCTGCTTTACATGCTGACAGATCCAGTGTGATACGAGCTAGTCAACAATGTGCTATGAATTCCGAATTGGCAAAACTAGAATATATGGACGCTTTGAATGCATTTAAAAATGAAGGCATAAAAGGTATGGCATTTTGTAATGATTAGTACCTTCACATACATTTGTGTGTTTGTTCATAATGAATTCGGTTAAGCTGTTTTGATTAATTTATTTCAATGAGTGATTCGTGTAGCAATAACGTATCTGTACCATTGACTTGTATTATTGTCGGGTTTGTATGAGTAGGTATGACTGAATACTGCTTATCGCCTACGTACATATTTATTAACCTGGTAAATAATTCGATAGATCATTCATTTTCCTATGTATATATATGTACATTTTAATTTTATTCGTTAATTCGTTCACTCGTTCGCTTGTTTGTCCTTCGGTACTTGTATAGTGATTTTCGCCCTATGTGCATTCGGTTTTAGTGGTCTATTTGTGATGCGTTAAATAAACGCATCCAACGCTTCGTATTCGTCTTTTGTTGTATAAACCGTTGGGTGTTATTTAGTAACGGTTTTCTGGACGAGCAGTATACGAAGTCTAAGAACATATTGAATACAGACTGCTACAAAACTGGTGAGACACCGGCTACCACAACCTGTTACCCCTAATGGAACATAGGTCTCTGATCAGTATTCACCAACCAACTCTATCCTGGGCCCACCTTTCTAATTCTTCCTATTTCTTATTCTTTCTGCATGTCTGCATATATATAGTTTGTTTTCGACCGATGAGATGTTTACGGTTTGTATCGTGGATCGATTTTAACTAACCACCGGGTCTGTAGGCCTTCAGTTTGATCTCTGATAATGGTCGTTTAAAATATACACTGCTGTGTAGTCCTTTATTAAAATAAAACATCTGTCCAATTGTTATCGGTTACCAATGCTTAGTAATTCCCTTTGATAAATTTGAACAGAGAAATGAGAAGACATATTTTGTGAGATAGTACCATTTCGTGCTTTCTCGTCAGTCACATACAAGCAACATGTTGTTCGTGAAGATAAGGTCAAAATTTCTTATTTAGCATGACATTCACTCACTATAACCATGGTAAACAAAGGTCAACATACAGTTGTTTTTGAACACATGAAGTTGGACTTTTCCGACCAATCAAGATAGCTTCGAGTAGTTTTAGTGTGTGTTGGTTTTGATGACATGTCACAACTCTAAAGGCTAATTTTGGGTCAATTTGATGACCACTCATCTTTAGATGTTTTGCAATGGACGAGGCTGGGTTTCTTGATCGATTTTGAGATGACGGGCTGGGTTGATGAATCATGGATTTGATTAACCATTTTAGAATATGTTCCCCTATCCTTTCTTCCAATCAGCGATCTGTCCTCCCTAAGTAACTTTCTCCTCAGTTACATGTGAATTGGTAAATACAGTGGGCTTTAGACTGAATTGGTCTTGGAGACTTGATTGGGATAACCGAGATCGATTGAATAGTTGTGATAAGCCTCAGATTAGCTGCATTGAAGGTCTTTTTTATTGCAGCTGCAGTCTGTTTGGTTGTAATTTTCATGCAATGATCACCCTTGAAAGGTAACTGTAGGTACACTGGTTTCTTGGACACATCAGTTGCTATCAGTTTCGCCGTTATTGTGTTCTGATGACCAATAAACGTTTCGAGATATCCGTTCAATTTAAGTGTCTTAGTAATAAGCTTGAATTCGTCGTCCAATGTATCAGCAGTGCAGATTCTACTTGCTCGAGCGAATAAAGTTTTGACAACAGAACGTTTATATTGTATGGGGCAGAAACTAGTGAAGTGGAGGTACTGTCCCGACCAGGTGGGTTTGCGGTGTACTTTTCGTCTGATTGATCCGTCTGGACGGCGGTGGAGCAGGATATCGAGGAAAGCTAGTTCATTATTGTTTTCTTCCTCCTAAGTGACTTTCAGTTTCGGGTGAATCGCATTAAATAAATCATTGACTTCATTAATATCTGTAGAATGTGGTAATATGACAAGAATATCGTCGACATATCGTTTGTAAAGTATAATACCATCGATTAAGTGACTCACTTGCCTTTCTATCATTCCGATGAATATGTTTGCTAAAACAGGTCCGAGACGGCTTCCCATAACCACTCCATCGATTTGTGTATATGCTTTACCTTGGAAATAGAATTTTATATTCTCTGTGCACAGCAAAATTAGATAGATAGAAGATAGGTAGTAGGAATGGGTGTTCTTATGTTGTATGAAGTTATGAAATCACAAATATACTCCACAGTTTCTTCGAGAGGTACATTTGTAAACAAAGACTGGTTGAAAGGAATTTTGGATCCTGTTTGTAAACAACTGTCGACACATACTCTCATTGATTCCTTTGAACTTCTCCCAACCTTGGAGCACTTGAATATTTCTAATAGTCGGATGTGTTCTTTCGAGAAATAATGCAAACATGTGTTCAAGACAAAATGATAAACAAAACTAAACGTAGATAAAGTTTCTCATGTGTTACACTTTCACGGTTTAAAATAAGCGTGGTCGGCTTTGCTGATAGGATCCTATAGGTTATTCCATACAAATGGGAAATTATCAAATGATATATATGTTGTAGTATGTACTAAAGTGTCAAGTCCACGTAGCTTCTAGACAGACAAATCAGTTAATGCTTCTCGAGTCATTATCCATGCGTATTTTGACCTTGTCAATTATTGGCTTATAACCTTGACTATTTTTTGTTTGAGCTAATGTGTGTATGTGTGTTCATCGCTTCATCTGTTCATCACATGTCGTTCGGTTGTTTTTGTCTGGCTATTAGTAGTTAGTCACGCCTTATCACGTAGGATTAGGACACTTGCTTTCTCCGCTTCATCTCGTTTTTGTCGGTCGCCTAAACGATTTAGTGAAATACATTTATCCAACTGAAACAATATTTAACTTCATATTACCGCTGTCACACAAAAACACGCTTAGCCTATGTGTAATGTACGGAATTAAATGGAAGGTTACTAGCATCATTTATATATACATCTCTCTCTCTCTCTCATTCTGTTAAGTTCGTAACATCAAAACTGATTTATTTTTATTTGTTCGCTTTTTGTCTAATTAAATTAAAAATTTTTTGTGCAACCTACTTTCTAAATTGTAAATCTTTAGATGAATTCTATTATTGTGTCCTTACCAGCTTGCCTGACCTCTCAACAATTCGGTTTTTAATCTCGTAACAAGAATGTCACTTTTTATACTTTTGTTCATTTGTCATGTTTTACTTATGTGTTACTGCTGTAATATATAAAGCTAGGCATTAATACCGTTAGATGCCGACTCAGTGACCAAGAGGTAAGGCGTTCGCGCACGAAGGTCGAAAGTTCAGGGTTCCATTCCTGCTTGTAGGGGTCGTGAGTTTGCACTGATAAAGAGTCGCATACTAGGCAGAAACGGCTGTCCAGTGTTTCGAATGAGGTCTAGCATTGATCGGTTCATGATTTGAATGGAACTCGACAATCTTCACAACCCTATACAGGTAGATTAGCGTTGGTCTCCTAGAGTCCAAGAGACAATTGCTTGTAACCGATCACACACTGTGTTTTTATCAGAAGTTTTTGAAGTGTTACCTCCCCTCTTGTTTACAAGGCCTTACCGCCGGAGAAGGAAATCCGTGAGATAGCGTGAGGTGTGACAGTTCTAGGGTCGACCTTTCCTAACCACTTCCTTCCTTTTGAGACGGCAGCATCGTTGCAGATTCTGGTTGTCCGAAGGAAACACTTTATTGCTGTCACACCTCTCTGCTGTCAGGAGTACGACTTCGCCTTCAGATCTTGAGTTTCTGCTTTTAGTCTCACCGTTCTCCAATTAAACTGCCTCGCATGGTAGAACCTACAGGAACATATATTCCAGCCAATATAGCTCAGTCGGGTCATCACGGTAGGCAAGCCTGATCACCACGTCAAGGTAGCAGCTACGGTCGGGATACTGGTATATATATATATATATATATATATATATATATATATATATATATATATATATATATATATATATATACATAAGCTTACACCTTTCAAAATGCAATGACTGAACAAAAGATTAGTTTTTGTTCAGCTACTTTCCCTCTTTTTTTCTACCTTATTCTAATTATCGTCAAATCAATATCATATCCACAAAAGCGATTGATTATCCAAAATGAAAGAGGTTAGATATTTTCATGTAATATAATTATCGTTGAACTAAATGAGCTTACCTGGTGGTTTATAGTGTTACAATCTACTTTGTTAAAAAGAAATGTTTTTTGTCTTTGTGGTTTATTGAGGCATTTCAATGTTATTGATAGACTTTACAATTTCAGTGTAAAACTAGTCTTGTGGAAGTAGACAATGGACCTTTATATATTATATTGTAAATATATTACAGTTGAAACTGATATCTCAACAGATTGATAAAGAAAACTCCGAATGAAACATCTTTTTTTTTATTTTGTTTGTTTACTCTTATATAAAGGTCAAGTATTGGGTTTCGTTTGATTTGATAAATCACTTACATGATGTGGTAGATAGACATTGATCGATTTTTTATTGATTTGTATAGGTTTATCTAAAAAAAAAAACTAATGTTGTGAAAATGATTGTTTGTATTGAGAAAATTCATTGAAGTTGTGTGTGTATATGCTGGTTAGTTACGGTGCTTAACATCAACGACACTTTTTAAGTAAGATAATAGCTATCTGACCTGAGTACACCGTCAGTGTTCTAAGTAGTACATAATGAGATCGGATCTCAGCGTGAATCTTCATCAGCTGAAGTGGTTGAGACATGTGTTACTTATGCCTAACCACTCACTGCCTCGACGAGCGATGTCTGGTGTGGGGGGTAGGTTGGAAGGTAGGAGCGAACAAATCAAAACATGGCACAAATCCATGAAGTCAATAACAAGTGGACTAATCCATGTTGATAGATGTAAACTAACTGGTTGGGGTCCGTAAGACAGTCGATGCTAGCGGTTTGAGACCTTGAACGACATGGCTCAAAATAGTTTGCAATAGCGCGAATGCATCTATTCTTTGTCTTCCCTCAAATCCTTATCTTCTAAATTCTTCTTCACCTTTATCTTTCTCTTTTCAAGT